AGTCCAGATTTACCTCAGCTGCTGCGCCACACCGACGGGGACCAGTGGCAGTGCTCCAGCTTCGGCCATAATGGCACGTTCAGCTGGAAGTCTCTGCCAATCCCCAGAAAGCATCAAGGCTCGCATGGCCAGAAAAAGAGCCGCTGCCAGGGTGCCACCAGTCAGAAAAACTCCAAGTGTTAGTTTCCAGTTGAGGAATACTGGGAATCAGTCGTCGCACTATGGCCTCAACACACCAAGTTACCGCAGCCCCATAAAATCCCCCAGCCAATACTTTCAGATTTGTTATTAACCTGCAGCCCCTGGAGTAACCAGAGTAGAGCCCCAATTTCTGCTACATTATTCTATTCAATTTTAGCAGACCAATATTGTTTTATACCAATTACACGGCCAACAAACTACAGGTCTTGCATCCCACATGTCCTCTAAATCAAAGTGTTATTTTTCAGCAAACTTCAAAAATCTTGTCAGCATCGGTGTTTCACTTGGTTTGTGTCGGTGTTTGACTTTTCAGTTTTACTATTTTTTTTCTATAACATTTTAATCTGCTTTTGTCTGCATTTTCGTGTTGGTTAACCTCTGCTATGAAGCCAAATGTTTCTGCGTTATAACAAGGTTTTCTATTAATTAGTTTTTTCAGTGTTGGTCCAAGAATGTGTTTGAAGTGGCTAATAAAGTCCATTTAAAAACTCATTTGTGTTTTCTAGCCTATATCATTCATTCTCTTAAGAAACCCACACCATCAACCCTTTTCATACATCACTGCCAAAACAGTCATGCAGAAACCTTCAATCATTCACCAAATGTTATAATCCCGCCAGTCATTATTGCATTTATCAAACTGATCCCCTCTCTTTCTTTTTCCAGAGGAAGGTTATGTGAAAATGTATTTGAAAGGCCGTCCCATTACCATGTTCATGCCCAAAGACCAAGTGGATGGCTACTGTCTGGAAGCGAGAGCAGACCTTCCGGCCAGCAAGCTCAAACTGGACTGGGTGTATCCTTTTTTTTAAAAAATAACGAATAAATAAAAATAAATGCGTCCCCATCATGAAAGCAATGAGTGGCGCCACTAAGTAGCTTTTAACATTTAAGATGTGTTTTTTTTTTTATCCCCATCATAGAAGCAATGAGTGGCGCCACTAAGTTGCTTTTAACATTTGAGAGCTCTTTTTTTTTTCTGATGCAATATTACCGCTGCTGTTTTATTTTCTTAATCATGAGCAGATACGGTTACCGCGGTCGAGACTGCCGCTCAAATCTTTACTTGTTGCCCACTGGAGAAACTGTGTACTTCATTGCCTCTGTGGTTGTCCTCTTCAACGTGGACGAGCAGCTGCAGAGACACTACACTGGACACACGGACGACATCAAATGGTACACAAAATGTAGCCCTGATTAACGTACAATAACGTACAAAAATAGGCAGAACAATTCCACTAGATGGCAGGCGGTACAAACACCTGCGTAGCTACCTGTTGCCATTTAGATAAGAGAATACTGTACTAGCTTAGTGTTGAACTGAACATGCCCAGATTTGAAATGTAGCTCTGATTAACATACAATGACGTACAAAAATAGGCAGAACAATTCCACTAGATGGCAGGCGGTACAGTTGACCTGCGTAGCTACCTGTTGCCATTTAGATACTGTAAGAAAATACTAGCTTAGTGTTGAACTGAACATGCCCAGATTTCATAGCATGTAAATTTGTTCCTAAATCAAGATCATCATTATTTAAGTGTGCATGATACTTTTTGGGACAGTTTTTTTGTAACGTGAACTACAGTGTGTGTCTTGGCTCAATATAGCTTGGGAACCATTGGCTTAAATATACAGACATTATGGACACTTGAACGTTTGTAACAGTCATTTCTGGGACATTCACAGCTAAGAAATGTGTCTCTGGTCCCAAGTTAACGTTCTCTCCCGAATTTTACTGATTCTAATGAGAAAGTGTCTTCGAAAGTACGCTGAAGCAACATTACACCCACAGAAAAGCAGCTCCATATCCTTCGATTATCCCTATTCACTGCGGCAGAATAACTGAATCAAGCTGCTTGGTCTCATTCACATCTCTCGTGTTGTGTGATGAACGGCCTCGTGCTTTTCATATTTACACTCCAGGTTTACTCAGAGTTCAGATAAATCCTCCACGATTTGGATACATTTGAAGTTGCAAAAAAGCGGTTCATTTATCTTCAGCCCGACTTTGCCCACATAACAGCTAATGGAAGTGAAATACTGTGTAGCCGTGGCTCTTAAATCCTTTTGTGCGCATCTTTATTCAAATGCTCCTTTTGATGAATGGATGCTGAAAGATGTTTCACTGTTTTTGTTTTTTCACATCCTCGTCTCAGCTTGGCAGTCCACCCCGATAAAATCACCATAGCGACCGGGCAGGTGGCGGGTACGTCTTTAGAGGGGAAAGTAAGTGAATTCCATTGTTAGCATATCATGACGTTTTGAGTCACATGTAATTTGCTGCTCTCCTCTTATCACATGATGAAATTGTTGTCACCTTTCTTTGTGGGTTTTTGACTTGCAGTTGGCGCCACATATTCGCGTGTGGGACTCCGTCAGCCTCAACACCCTCCACGTTCTGGGAGCCGCTTACTTTGAGCGAGCCCTCGTCTGCTTGGCTTTCTCTAAGTCGGTGAGGAAAAGGATGCAATGAGATTAGTCATCTAAAAGTGACATTTGACATTTACATCTAAGAGTCATGTCTTATACTGTTTGTTTTTTTATATTTTAGAATGGAGGAAACACATTGTGTGTTGTTGACGACTCGAATGACCATGTGCTGTCCGTATGGGACTGGCAGCGAGAAGACAGACTGGCTGAGGTCAAGGTGGGTTGCATGCGGATGTGCATGCATCCGTCCGTGGCCAAGTATGGCCCGCAGGCGGCATATGGCTCGCGTACTTCTCTGTTCTGGCCCCTTGGTGCGTTTACATTATCAAAAGACTTGTAATGTTTGCTGCATTTTTCCTCATAATGGGTGAATTAAAATCAATGAGTTCATTTTTATTCAGCGTTCATCCATCCATCCATTAGTCAAGCCTTTTATCCTCACGAGGATCGCGGGCGTGCTGGAGCCTATCTCAGCCATCTTTGGGCAGTAGGCGGGGTACACCCTGAACTGGTTGCCAGACAAACAACCATTCATACTCACAGTCACACCTAGGGACAATTTAGACTGAGTCTTCCATTGTCCTGCCATGCATGTTTTTGGAAGTATCTGGAGAAAACCCACGCAGGCACGGTATTTTATTGGATCTCGGGTTATGTGCGCCACTTAACCGTGCAAACTCATTTCTTTGGTTTACAGACATCCAACGACACGGTGTTTGCTGCAGACTTTCACCCGACTGACAGCAACATCCTGGTGACGTGTGGCAAGTCGCATCTCCATTTTTGGAGCTTGGAAAAAGGCATGCTGGTCAAGAAGCAAGGACTTTTTGAGGTAAAGCGTCACACCACGTTCGTCTATTCATTTGTTTTTTTTGTGTTATTTCTATTGGACAGTTTATGAGACAATGAGACAAACATGCATGTTATGGGTAAGTGGGAGGAACACATGCAAGCACAGGAAGAACATGCAAACTCCACACAGTAAGGCCAGAGCTGAGATTCGAACCCCAAACCAGTTCATCATTTCATCCTAATCTTACAATATTACCTTTAAAAATGGCTTGCAACTGATTTGATTTCTTTTTATTGTTTTTTTATTTTGTTAAAATGCACTTGAAGTAGAGGCGTATGTGGCAAAGTCTTCTTGTGCTAACAGCCCAGGCTAAACGTAGCTCTTCGTCGGAAAGCTTGTCCCTCATTTGAGGTGTATCATTTCTGCAGTCCAACAACAATGTACAGTACTACTTTCCTCTTAGACAGGGCTTCAGTGCCATTGGAAAGCTTGTCCCTCATTTGAGGTGTATCACTTCTGCAGTCCAACAACAATGTACTACTTTCCTCTTAGACAGGGCTTCAGTGCCATCGTGTTACATCTTTCTGAATGAAAGCCCAAAAAAAACACAAATAGTAGGTGAGTTTTTCAACTAATGGCTGGCAATGGGTTCAACATTAAAAAAAGAAAGAAACAAAATGAATAGGTGACTCTGTGAATAGTGCTCACTTGTAGAAAGGTGGCGGTTAATTGTATTTTAACTGGGCCCATGCTTGTGTGTTGGTGATTTACAGAAACAGGAGAAGCCCAAGTTCGTTTTATGTGTGACCTTCGCAGAAAATGGAGATACTATCACTGGGGACTCAAGTGGAAACATCTTGGTGTGGGGAAAAGGTACATAATACTTACATGTTTGTATCTTGACATGGTTGTGTGCCGACTTCAGGAAATCCAGCTAATCAATATGGTTATCCTTCTAAACTCATTATTAGCTCCAAAGCTGCCTATTTGTAACAAAACAGGGTCATCCTGGGGACTTTCTGAAGCAGAGACACACCACTCCCACTCCTTCCAACATAATCTCTCACTGATCCACTCTATCGATCGACTTGTCTGACTGTCGGCCATTTTACGAGCCTGCTTCCAACAAGCCGACTTTCTCTGGGCTGAAAGCCTCTCGTCCATCTTATCCCGTCCGTCTCTGTCACGCAGGCACTAATCGCATCAGCCACGTCATCCACGGAGCTCACGAAGGCAGCATCTTTGCCCTGTGCATGCTGAGGAATGGCACTCTGGTGACTGGAGGCAAAGACTGCCGCCTCATCTCCTGGGACAGCGGCTACCAGCAGATCCAAACAGTGGAGGTGAGAAATGGGCCTCCACTATACAAGCACAGGAATACTTGTGCTCTGGAAAAGTAAATGTAGCCATATCTGTTATGTCTCACTGGAAATGTACATGGAAACAGATTAAATGTAGTAATCCTCCACAATTTGCTATTAATTGATGCCCCTCCCCAAGAAATGTTTTAATTGTCTATCACAATAGTTTAAGCCATGAAACTTCAATATTGTTTGAAATTCATCTTACAACCTTACTCTTACAAATAAATGACTAAAAGGTGTTTTCATGTGGATAATCTGGTGTGCATGCATATGCAGCGAAAACCTCTGTACCTTCCACTAACAACCCAGGCTAAACACCTCCTCTCAGACATTCAAAGTTTATCTCTCAGTTGAGATGTATCACTTCAGCATACTTCCTTTGAGCAATTACTGCACTACTTCAGTATGTAGCCAAGGCTTTGGTGCCATTTTGTGGCATCTTTGTGCATTTCAGGAAAAGCAAAACAACTTCAAATCGGTGAGTTTTTCAGCAAATAGCTCGAGATTGGTTCCACAGTGAAACTTGCGAGTCGTGCAATGCGTGGGATTCCTGGAACTTTATTATTCTGCTTCCACACATAAGTATGCATGCAAGTTTTGCTGTTGAGCATCTCATCGTTAGATGGAAAGAGTCATCTGAATGCTGTGATAAAATATTAAACACTCTGTACCGTCTGTACTGGCTTGAAAAAAAAAAGAACTCTGCTGCTTACGTTGGCAAGAAGCAGCACTCCTGCAGGCAGTAGATTTTGCACTTCATAAATAAAACATATGATGTCTTCTTTTGCTCATGAGCAGGATCATCATTTGCAGTAAAAGATGAATGTGACTAAAGACTCCAAATAAATAGAGAGTATACATGGTTTGTAATGGCTTGGTTGCAGGTGCCAGATTTGTTTGGTCCTATCCGGACTGTCGCAGAGGGCAGAGGGGAGTCTGTTCTCATTGGAACCACAAAGAACTTTGTTTTGCAAGGCAGCTTGGATGGAGAGTTTGTACCCATTACTCAGGTTAGTCACTTTGCCATTCAAACATTTCTGCCTAAGAGAGCACACCGCAAAATGTCAAATAAATCTCTTTCGGTTTTTTTTCCCTGGTTGTTAGGGTCACACTGATGAGTTGTGGGGTCTGGCCGTACATCCCTGTAGGCCCCATTTTCTCACATGTGGCTATGATAGGCAAGTCTGTATGTGGGATTCCAGTTCACATCAGCTGATCTGGAGTAAAAACATGGAAGTAAGTCGAGTCAACACTGCCCCCTGAAGGCCATTAAAACTATCACATCTAAAGCATCGAAATTAGACGTCTGGCTCGTGCTGGTTTTGATCTGAGTAATGCAGCTTACGTAATCTTGTTTCTGTTTTCATTTTGCAAAATATTTCTCTACAATTTTTTCAAATGTATGTTAAAATTTCCTCAATGCCTACAGGACACTGCCCAGTCAGCAGACTTCCACCCATCTGGAACTGTTGTTGCTATAGGAACCCAGATTGGCAGGTTGGTGGGGAGAACCTTCCTTGAAACTGACAAGTCGTTGATGGTGCACTGACACATCTGTGTTACGCTCCACCAGAAGTCATATTTTAAATCAATTATATATTTATCAACATGTGTCTTTTGTGTGGTTGGCTCTGTAGGTGGCTGGTACTGGATACTGACTCAAAAGATTTAGTCACGGTGCACACAGATGGAAATGAACAACTTTCCGTGATGAGCTTCGGCCGAGGTTTGTACTTTTTACATAGAGTAGATATTGTGCAATTTATTTGCGATTTGTAGGACTGCATGTTGTTAACAGGAATCTGTTCTCACTAGAGTTTATGACAATTTACATCAAAATTATGCACTGTAATGAGCAGAGGTGGACACGCCAGTACGTCAGTCATCCTTTCGTCATTGTCTGAGGCCAGCCCAGTCTGTCGGCATATTCCATTCTCTTCTTTTAATATTCTAAATTTTTCTAATAATTCAAATTTGACAGCGTAGTGAACAACACTCTCCTCTGTTATGTGTTAAATTTAGAAGACAATTTCCACTTTACTTCGCCACTCTTCGAGTCCATTTTAAACTAAATCTCTTGCTTTATGAAATGTACATGCGGATATGTTTTTGACAGCTTAGATGGTTACATTTTTGCTTTGTTTACCTTTTAAAAACTGCATTAGATGGCAACTTCCTGGCCATCGGCTCTCATGACAGCTACATCTATATCTATGCCGTGGCAGAAAACGGCAGGAAGTACAGCAGAGTGGGGAAGTGCTCAGTAAGTGTTTCGTCATTCCAGTCACCTGCAATTCAATTTTGAAGTTAGATACAGTGCAGGATATTGGTATCAAAAACTTTTGTTGTAATTGCTGTTGTTGTTTGTTTGTTTTTTTTTTTCTTTTTTCAATGTATAATTTTTGCAGGGTCACTCGAGTTTCATCACCCACCTGGACTGGTCAGTCGACTCCCAGTACCTGGTGTCTAACTCAGGAGACTACGAGATACTGTACTGTAAGTGCACACTAGTGTCAATCTGTGTTGACCAAAAAGATGCAAGTTTACTTATAGTTGAACACAGAGGTCCACAAACGTAATTAGAACCAAGGATCCCTACTCATCAACAATGTGTACCCCTCAATGCTAGAAATGATTTTTCTTTCTTGAAAGTTTCAACCTGAATATTCGGGAAGTATTTAATAGAAAATTACTTAACCAAATCAAACTTAATTATCCATCGTCGTCACTAACTACAAATGCTATATGAATGCATTTACCGTATGTCATATTTATGTGATGATACAGCAATATATCAGAACTTTTATTTGCCCTAGAGCTAAAGTAAGGAGGAGTAATTGGCTTAGTATTCTTTTATTGACAATGTCATCCCTATATGCACTATAGGTGTGCATTTTTGAAATGATATATTAATTTACTGTAAATTGTTTTGCGGAAGCTGACAGCTCCCAGACCCCCAGTGGTCCGGAAACTTCAGTTCGAGAACCAAAGGCTTAACAGATCATGTACATGCAATTAAAGAATCTCAACCGAGATGATAATACACCAAAATTACAGTCAGTGCTTGAAATATAATTTTTGACTTTTGAAGTGTCTTTGTTATTCCTGTCGTGTGCATCTGATCATTTTGTGTGTGTGTGTGTGTGTGTGTGTGTGTGTGTGTGTGTGTGTGTGTGTGTGTGTGTGTGTGTGTGTGTGTGCTGTTTACGCAGGGATCCCCTCCGTGTGCAAACAGGTGGTCAGCATGGAGACCATCAGAGATATTGAATGGGCCACACACACCTGCACTCTAGGCTTTCAGGTTTTTGGTATGTTTTCATTTGCTTTTCATAATTTCTTCTCTTAATCATAGGAAGGAAGTAAGGGTTACTGTTAACTTCGTACCTTCCCATCAGGCATGTGGTCTGATGGCTCAGACGGCACCGACATCAATGCTGGCAGCAGATCCAATGATAAGAGCCTCCTCGCTACCGGGGACGACTTTGGGAAGGTCCATCTCTTCTCCTTCCCCTGTTCTCAGTTCAGGGTAAATGTTCTGCACTCTACTATGTGAAAGAGTTTGTGGTGGGAGGTCGCAAAGTACTTTGTTTCAATACATAATACATGTTTGAAGATAATTGCAGAAAATGTGCATTCTCCTGGATAGGAGACTGGCTATCATTAAAAGCAGCTTGTATGAACTGAAAAGTCGGAATAACTGAGGTTGAACAGCAATAAATAATGGTGCCATCTCTCAACTCATTTGAACTGTATTTACAGAGCAAACATAATTACTACAACAACAAACAAACACAATAAATTAATAACAAAGACAGTAGAATGCACACAAACAGTCAAACAAAAAATCAAGTCTCATGCTGAGTCAGGGCTGACTCTGTGCTATGCATCATCTCGAACCCCGACCGGAAGACCTCCAAGACGTTATGTTCAACCAAGAAAGATTTTACACCACCTTTTCCCGAATTTTTTAAATGAAAGGCAGCTTGGAATTGGGCCTAAAATTTGATAGTACATCTTGATCAAGTTGGAGAGATAATTGGCAAACCAGGCAGCTGCATGTTTAAATATGGAGTAGAGCTTTTAATAAATCAATTAAAAAAAACACAATTTTTAAATTACATAACATTTTTGCTGTAATGTAATATTTCTGTAATATTTTATATTTGTTGTCAGTTTTATTGTATATAAGTGGCAGGAAACATTCATTTGTTGGTTTGACAATTGTACTTCAATACATTTCAGTCTGTATATTTTTTCCGTTATGTGCTGCCATTTTCGTCAATTGTGTGCATCTTTTGGCACAGCGTGACAAGTTAATGAATCATTTTGAAAGGTGGCTAATGTTAAAAAATCTTGGCTGTGATCATAATTTCAGGCTCCCAGCCATGTTTATGGAGGCCACAGCAGCCACGTGACCAACGTGACCTTCCTGTATAATGACAGCTGCCTGGTGTCGACCGGAGGGAAGGACATGAGTGTGATGCAATGGAGGATAGTTTGAGCGACAAGACTTGGAACGTGGACTTCCCTCTGCCGTTGCTCACGCCAAGTGGAAGCAAAACCAGATTGCACTACGAAAGAACCAATTGAAATGCCTAATAATGTGGATCTGAACTGAGGTGAATTAATAGAGGGTTTTCATTGCAGGTCTGCTTTCAGGTCTCGGGTGAGATGATCTGGTGAAGTGTGATGTGTTGCTTCGTGTTTCTCCCTGTTTTTTTCTTCATTCAGTCGCACTACATGGAAAATCCCTCCAACATACTCTAGTCCAGTGTTCCCAACCTTATTTGAACCATGGCACATATTTTGCATGACAAAAAAAATCTCGCCCACACCACCAAATACAAATGTTGTACACACAGGATAACGCTGTCCCTTCTGCCATCGAGTAGAAAAGCATCAAATTCATTCTGCCTGTCACAATACATTACTGATGTCGGGGAACAAAGATGAATAAAGTTTAAAAGTTCCCGCAATATCCCACAGCCCATCTGATGGTCTTGTACAGCAAACTGGTTCGAAATCACCGCTGTAGTCCACTCACATGAGACGAATAACCCAAATTTTAAAGAACCAAAGGCTCATATTTATGACACCATTCGTGCAATTGCACACACTTCTCACAGTTTATGTATGGACTGAAGTTTTTGTATTTTTTGACTGACATTACACTAATCAAGCCAAAAGAGGAGGATTGGATGGCAAACTGTGCATGGAAATTTTTGTTGTTGTTGTTTTTTGGGGTTTTTTTCTATTGTATTGAACCACTCAGGAAACTCCCTGGACAAGTACACCCAAGTACACAAGTACATCATGACTACAACACATAAATTTGACAAATCACGCAACTAAATACCTTTTTACTGTCAGGGTACATTTTCAATCGTCCGAGTGCCATTGATCAAACAAATATTATTAAATACTATGAGCTTTTTCGGGTTAAATGTCTTTGGGGTTTTTTTTAATCACAGTTCCTCTGTGGTTATATTTACTTTGACAATTGCATGCCGGTCTGGATCAAACATTGCAGCGGGGCCATAGGTTCCGCACCTCCTACCCTAAATTTATGTTGCTAAATTGCATTTGATTTATATGCATTTACAAACGGTCGATCTGATATTTAACTTAAAGGACATTTATACCACAAATAAAAACACTGAGTGGGGAGTTGTTGTAATTCCAAAAAGACACCTTGTTTCTGAAATCAAACAAGAGGTAGGTTTTTTTTTTTTCGTTTTGTTTTTTTGGGGTGGGGGGGTGCCACCTACAGTACAGGATAGGAGGATTCCTTAACATGCTTGTCTTTGTTGCTACTGTTGACTGCAGCCATGGATTGGAAGCATGAGACCATATCACTGTAACTGCCTGATCAAGTTGAAGCAACATATTGAATTCAACTTAGTTGTTTTTTTTTATTTAATTCTTATACTCTCATATTAAGGCTTCATTAAGCTTTCCCAAAGACCAGTCATGGCTTTTTTTTTTCCAACCCTCTGATCTGTGAATTATCACCAGTTCTTTTCACACGCAAAACGTTGCTTTGATTTGGAATCAAAAGGATAAGGTTTGATGATGAGGCTAATGCTGTGAACTGGTATTTGTCTTCCCATGATGCACCTGGTCCCACAATTACCACTGATCATTTAACATTTGTCTGACCGTTAGCACCAAATAAAACATCCAGGATTCTGTGTCCAAACTACACGCCTGCGACTCAAGTTTGTTTAAAGCATCATGTAATGTCTGTCAATGTCTGTACAGGGAACCCTTCCTGATGTTACGATTTTTTTTTTGCTTTTGTGCAGAAGTTAATTGCAGTCAAATTGTTTACTTGTTCTCATAACAGCAATTGAAGCAGTACAGTACTTGAGCTTTTACCAACCTTTTTTTTTTAAACAAGCAGCTGTAGCCTACTTGTACTGAAGTACAACGGGAGTACTTTGGACAGCAGTAAGGTTTCAGAGCAACTTTCGCGAAGGATAATTTGCGAATAGGCGGGGGTTCACTGTTAAAAAAACACTGCATGCCTCTCAAGGGGGCGCCCCCCCCCCCTCCTAACTGTCTGCCTGCAGTTACGCGTCTTCGCCACCGGCGGGCAGCATTGAGCGGACTCCTCCGCACGCCGCATTGTAACCTTGCCAAAGCTCTCCGCCTCGCTTCTCCGACCTGCCAACAACACTCCGAACGGGAAGAAAATATGGCGTGAAGGAGGCGGCGGCCACTGACGACCACTGTTACCCGCCCGGTAGCTCGCCTTCAAGTGAATAGAAGACAAAGAACATGGATGTAAGGACACGCCGTGGAGCGCGTGTGCAGCTGAGACGCCGGAGCACAAAGCGGATGGGAGAGACAGCCTGAGCCGTAGCACGCCTCATCACATTAGGCCCTAAAAACACGCTTTTTCCACGTCCGCGAGGCATCCTCGACTTGTTATATTATAATTGTTTTCCATATAAACGGCGAAAGCACTTCCATTGGCTTCGTCGTCGTCGTGTGAAGAAAAAAAGGGCGACATGAGGTAAGCTAATCCCACGCGCCCTATTTGACGCGTCATGACAGATGCACATTGGCACTACATTTTACATTCTCACTCTTAACATAAAATATATTTGGGTAAGAAGCCTGCACGGTGCATTACTGTATCAACATTAACGAACTACATCATTTCGTTTTGTGTGTGCATGTGTGTGTTGGTGGTGGGGGTGTCGCCTCTGTCGCTCCCCACAATCTATTTTTGCTATTTCCTCAAATTTAGTAGCCTCCTATTGTCACGGTGTGACCCCGCCCCGATTGTTACAGATGTAGCTTTAAAAGTAGTCATGGCAACGACAGCATCACTGACTGTGCACCAGGTGGTATGGTGGTGGCTGCAGGGAGTGAGAAGCACGCATGCAGTGATGAAGACCAAGAAGGAGGAGGTGTTTATTCTGGTGGTTGCCAGGCAGGTTAGGCAGCCCCCTCACCCCCCAGTCTGACTTTTTTTTTCCTTCCCAGATGACACACAGTCACACACATACCTAAGCTCATCTCCTCGTCTGCTGCCATCAGTCCACATTCTAAATTTGAGCGTATGAGTAGAACTCGGCTGCCACTTACTCGCCTATGTTGGTATGCAGAGTGAAGCCGGGCCCCCAAAACCTCCAGCCTAAACTTCTATTTACAGTTTAAAAGCTTCCCGTCTGTAGTTTGACTCCTGTACTGTGGTCAAAGTACATAAATTAGGTACAAGTTTTATACACATATATATATATATATATATATTTTTTTAACCACAAGCTTCGCTACTTCATCCACAAGTACATATGGGATTTATGAATATGGTTAAGTACTT